GGTTTAACCACCAAAAAAAAGGCTACTCACCTGAGTAGTGTAGGTTTAGGGAGAAGGGGGCTCAAACCCCAAATTTAACCTGGGAATTTACCCTTGTCATGGAGGATCACATGCACAAGAAGGTGTAGCATGAAATGGAAACTGGGATTGTCGGGGGGTTATGTAGCATCTTGAATAGAGTCACTAGAGTCCCCAACGTAGAGCAAGATCGTGTCAGCTTTCAGGAGCCCAATGCAGACCCCCTCGAAAGCACCAGGGTCTTTGTGGCGCTCCTTTGTTGTATATGAACCCAGTCATTAAGGATGAAGTGGACCCATAAAGGTCCAAACGTCAGGTGCAGTAGTTTTGGCATTCATATTCATGTGACACATACGAACCATAAGTAAACCCTAAACAAATACCTCGAAGGAAGGTGCGACAACAACACGTTAGCAACACAAAGGGGTCATTTTAGGGGTTCGATTTCGGAACAGAGCCCCGACATTATTCCCATCACACAATTTCCCTGGTTTCGTTACATTGTTCTGTATAATCCAAAGAAAGTCCTGCAAAGTAAACCATGAGAGTCTGTGGGGATCTGACACGCAGGCAGCGGCGCATTACTTTTCCATATACTCAGACGAGCTGGCAAAGTGGACTGTGACTGAAGGCCACGGTCGTTGGACCTCGCTAAGGGAAACCCTGGGAAATCCAAGCATGTACTGTACGAGTGGCAGGAATAATAGGAATATAGCCACCAGGGTACTTATACTCTGATAAAATGTCTATTAGATATATGGGTTCTAAAGACCATTCTGTGGGAGTGGTGGAAGCCGGGGGCCCTTTGTGGACCCCTGGGATAAGGATCATCGGGTTCACTCTGAAGGTTTTTTAAGAAGTTGTGCCGTCAAATTGACATGTAGGAACAGTCGGTTTCTGTTTCTAAGGTTGACTGGAATACGTGTAGGGCTCGTATCGATAGCAGTGGGAGTCATGGGCTGAAGGACTGGAAAAGTTTTGGCAACCACAAACATTATGTGCTTCTGACCCTAAGCTTTTCATTGCTATTGCAGAAAACACCAGTGTTTTGCAATATTGTAGTTTCCATAAATTGGGGCATGCAAATCTGGAACAAGCATTATACTCTTATTATCGAGACCCCCACGCCCAATTTTGAGAAACCCTAAACCCTAATCCCTGAACCCTAGATCGCCCGATTTACCCTGTATAAGCCATACATCCTCTGTGATGGTACCCCTAAGTTTGGGTAGGCCCCAGATGACCTGCAGTCTAAACTCCTACTATCCCGCTTAATAACCCCTAAAATATTCCCTATACAATCCTCTATGTAATCCCCTTCAAGGAGTTTAGACCCTAAACCCTAACCCCCAAACCCTATAAACTCTGTATAGACCTGTATGTAACCCTTTTTAAGGAGTTTAGACTATAGCTGTCGTATACCTATAGGCCCAGAAGGCGCCACGACCCCTCCGAGCCCTTGCAGGCTCCCGAGATTCTCGTGAGATGCAGGACGCAAGCTGGACACTGAGATTTGGGGTTTAGGGTTTATGGTTTACTTACCGGTGGTTAGTAGGGAAGTAGGGGATATTATCCCTAAATAGACCAAGATGTGGGGCTTGGGGTTCAGGATATAGGGTCAAGTGTTCAGGGAGCAGGTTTAGCATTTAGGGTTCGGGTTTCAAGTGCGGGTGGTTCTTAGGGAATAATGGAATAAAATCCCTATGTAATGCCTAGACAATACATTCCCTTATCCCCTGCTTACCACTAGTAAATTAAGGGTTTAGGGGGAGGGACAGGGGTGAGTTGTTGGTTCGGATTTAAGATGAGTTGTCCGCTTTGATGCTTTAGAGGGCTAAAGGGTCTATAGGTTTGAGGGTTTAGGGTTGTAGGCTTTAGGGTTCAGGATCTAGGGTTTAGAGTTTAAAGTCGGGGCTGAACGAGATGCAGCCTAGAAGTTTAAAGGGACTCTACTGGGAACCCCAAATAGGGAACCCCAAGAATATAGTAGGTACATAATAGGAATATACCTACCAG